TGAAGGGACGTAGAAAGCCTTGCTGGCCTTGTCCGAGCCAAGAGACTTGAGAATCTGCTTGACAGGTCCCTCAAGCGCAGAGTGCGGGCCCACCTCGACCACGATGTCAGGCTGATCTTCCAGGAAGAGCGCCTGCAAAGCAGTCGAGAAGAGCACGGGCTTCGTGAGGTTCTGAACCCAGTACTGCGCGTCCAGATCCGCACCACTGACAAGCCTCTTCCCGTGAAGGGACGAGAAGAAGGCCACTTTGCCAGTGCTGCTGGCCTTGGTGTCCTGGATCGTCGACAGGTAGTGTTCAGCCACGTTCTCCATGTGGACAGAGTGATAGGCAACGTCAACCATCAGCTTGCGGTTGAATGTGCCCTTCTCTTCGAGGCGGGCAGCAAGCTCGTCGATGGCCTGCGCGTCACCCGAAATGGTGACCGACGAAGGCGAGTTCTCGCACGCGATACCGCAGTGTCCGGTCTGAATCTCCTGGATCATCTCACGGGCTGTCTGGGCGCTGCAACCAGCAGCCAACATGGCACCGCGCAGGTCTGCGTGCTTGGCCTTCAGTCTCAGGACAGCCTGTCCTCGGTGGAAGGCAGCAGCAATAGCGTCCTTGAGGTTGATAGCGCCCGCAGCGTACGCAGCCGCGATCTCGCCGCTGGAGTGTCCAACGACAGAAGATGGCTGGACGCCCCAAGACCTCAACAGGTTGGTGAAAGCCAATTGAAGTACGGTGCAAGCCGGCTGGCTGATGTGAGCCTTGTTGATCTGCGAGTGCTCCTTGTCCTTTGTCAATTCCTCGATCAGGGAGAAAGTGGCTCCGAGCTTCTTGAGCTCCTCGTCCGCTTCCTTTACCGTCGAGGCGAAGACGTCGTGAGACACCATCAGCTCACGTCCCATGGCATGCCACTGCGCGCCCTGGCCGGTGAAGACGAAGGCGATCTTGGGGGCTCGCAGAGCCCTGATGGGCTGAGCCGCCGGGCTGTTCAGGGCACGGGTCAGATCACTGGCCGAGGACCCAACCACGGCCGTGCGCCAGGACAGCTGGGAGCGGCGATGGGCGAGTGTGTATGCCAGGTCGCGGAGGAGCTCTCTGTCGAAAAGATCGGGATGCTTCTCGAGCCAGACGCCCACTATAGCCTTGAGACGGCCCACGGCGTCCTTGTCGTTGCCGGACAAGACGACGAGGCGAGGTCCAATGTTGGACTCGTTGTAGCCTCTGGCGAGCGTCGGAGGCGCCTTCTCGAGCACGCAGTGCGCGTTCGAGCCACCGAATCCAAAGTTGTTGACGCTGACGAAGCGCTTGCCCTTGGGCCATGGACGCAGAGATACGGGGACCTTCATGTTCCATTCGGCGAAGGGGATGCTCTCGTTTGCCTGGCGATAGTTGACGTTGGGCAGGATGAAACCCTTTTGAAGCATCAGGGACGCCTTAATGACTGCGACGAGGCCGCTTGCCGGCTCAAGATGTCCGATGTTAGACTTGACAGAGCCGATGTAGAGAGGATGGCGGGGAGTTCTGTCTTCGTTGAAGACTCGGTGGAGAACCGTAGCTTCGATGGGATCTCCGACCTTGGTGCCGGTACCGTGTGCCTCAACAAAGCCGGTGTCTCTCGGGTTGATGCCGGCCTTGGCATAGACCTCACGGATCAATTGTTCTTGAGCATCGGCAGAAGGAGTTGTCATGCCTTTCAAACACTGTCAATGACATTTCCACGCTGCGTTGAATGAGGCACACTTACCGACTGTCTTGCCGTCTTGGTTGACGCCCGTGTTGACGACGACGGACCAAACCTTGTCGCCGTCTTTCAGAGCCTGGTCAAGAGGCTTCAGGATAACGCAGCCAGTGCCTTCTCCACGCGCGAATCCAGACTTGGCGCGGTGGTCAAAGGCAAACGTGGCTCCCTTTTCGGAGAGCAAGCTGGAGAAGATGTCAGAGAACTGTCGTTGCTCGTTTGGTTAAGCTCCGACTTACCGGTTGGTCGACAGGGACACAACATTGGCCGGCTGGATGTTGAGGTGCGACGACGCAACAAGGGCTTGCTTAGTCTCCCCTGAGCGAATGCTCTGCACTGCCTGGTGCAGGGCATGCAAGCTTGAAGAGCATGCTGTATCAATGGCAAAACAAGGACCACGCAGGTCGAAGTAGTGGGAGATGCGGCCCGCCTGGACGCCTTGGTGATTACCAGTGGCATCGGACATGGGCACAGTGTCGAGGTCTGTGAGAGACCCAAGACCATAGTCGGGGGGGGACGCGCCAACAAACACGCCCATGTTGGTCCCGGCAATGCTCTCCTTGGGAATACCGGCATGCTCTAGTGCTTCATAGGTGCACTCAAGCAGTTGTCGCTGCTGAGGATCTGTTGATCTCTGTCAGTCAAGCCGTAATAGCAGCTAGCCACAAAGGGCTGTAAATGGTTCGCAAAACGTACCCATGGCACTAGCTTCATTGTTGGTAATGTTGAAGAAAGGTGCATCGAACTTGGCGATGTCCTCTTTGAGAAAGTAGCCGCCTATGCTGTTGAAGCAGCCCCTCTTCTCGGGGTTCGGGTGCCAGTATGCTTCCTTGTTGAAGCGATCCTTGGGGATTTCGCCCCAACCGCTGCGAGCTCTGCACATGAGCGTCCAGAAGTCGTCGAGTGTCGAGACTTCACCGGGCAGCCGGCACGACATGCCAATAATGGCCACGGGCATCAGAGTAGGCGCCATTGCGAAAATGATAGTAAGGTAGTAAAAGTAACGACAGTGCGATAAACGAGAAAGAACGATGCAAAATCGAGTGAACTGATGAGATGCTTAATTCAAGACTGTTGCCATGAGAAACCCGCGTTGCTAACTTATAGTTTTTGATCGACATACGATCCATCAAGTCTGCATGGCCTTCGCAGCATGACAAATGTAGAATGTCCATGTTGTGGACGCAATCGGCCAAGACCAGGCACATTGCTCGACATCGGTCTTCCTCGCGGCCTTTAATCCGGAAGCAGAGTCGATTCACCGATCGACGTCCTGCTTTCGCTTGACGCACAACGCCTGAGCTGAATGGAAGGACCCATCCCATATCTCGGCGTGATTTTCGGTTCGATGAAGAAGCTTTAACGATGAGTCCGTATGAGACATTGTGTCAGAGCCTCATCACCTCAACCCCTGACAGTTGATGGAAACGTTCTTTCGAAGCCTTCTATGAGTGAGACAAGGCGCCCGGGCCAGGTAGCGCGCCTGACTACCGGCAGTTCAGTGAGACAACAGCACGGCAGGTTATTGTGCAGCTGAGACAGCCGTGTTCAGGAATAAGGCTACACAAAAATATGTGGAAAGTGGGATGGGGGAGGGAAGAAATAGCACAACGCGAGATAGCATTTAAGGTCGCTGCTGCGCAACCAAAGTCATCACAGAACAGCCTGGCCCTTCAAACCGCATCCTAGTCACGACATCGTCACCCGTTATTCAAGATGAAGTTCCTCTGCCTGCACGGTACCTTTGGAAGCGCCAAGGTACGGCCTCCTCCACTCCGCCTCTCCGTCGTGCCAAATTACTGAGTCTCCGGTATAGAAATTCAAGATTCAACTCGCGCCATTCGTTCAGAAGACTCAGGAGGACTCCGACCTCGAGTTCGAATGGATTTCGGGACTTCACGAGGTCGAGCCCCCGGCAGAATTTGAACACTACTTTGGTGAGAAACCTCTGTACAGGTTCATGCCGTTCAATGGCATCCGCGCGTACGACGACCTCTTCACCAAGTGGAGGCAGTGCCCCGACGGGGCATCGACCGAGGAGAACATGCGCCTGCTCTTTGGAAGCGAGGAGAACTTCCTGCACCAGAAGGCCTGCCTCCAGGAGACGATCGACGCGGTGCTCAAGGCCATTGACGACGACCCAGAGATCGACGTAAGTTCCAGCGCCCCAAACGACCCGAGACAGAAGCATGCTGTGAGCGACCTGGCTGACCTCTGGTACACAGGGTATCCTTGGCTACTCGGAAGGAGCGACAATAGCCGCGACCGCGATTCTAGAAGAACGACGCAGGTGGGAGGAAGAAGGAATTCCCAGGAGGATCAACGTAAGCCACCACCATTCCATGCTCTCTCCCCTGCCTGATGCCCACTGCGACATGTGGCTGATTCACACCCCACAACGTAGTGCGCCATCTTCTTTGCTGGGTGTCCTGCCATCTCTCTCAAGGACGGCAGCATCTCGATGCTGTCTGATGCGGAGGCCGAGGATGCTATCGACATTCCAACTTGCCACGTCGTCGGCTGCAACGACCCTTACATTGATGGGTCTGTTACCTTGTACGACATGTGCAACGAGGACAAGGCTGAGCTTTTCGACCATGGCCAGGGTCACGTCATCCCCCGCGACCCCAGGACCTTGGAAGAACTGTCTGTTTCTGTATCCAGGATCGTAGGCATGGCCAATGCCAACAAGCGCAAGCCCTCGGTCACGGGCTCCGAGTCGGATGCTTCCCGAAGGTCATCTACCTGGTCTTCCGGGAACAGTTCTACCGTCGAGCTGGTATGAGATCTCCTGGATCATATCGCGTAGCCATTGCCCTCAAAGCTGACAATTATTAGACGGCTATCTGCACATGAGCGCCGTCGGCGACTATCAGTCTTTTTGGAGTTAAAACGGTGTGATTGCTTCTACCGCGGCTAGATAGAGTAAAAGTTGGATGTCGCCGGCTACTACTCCACCGCAATCGTTTGGGACAATAAAACAACAATAATAATCATAGTTCATTCTTCCTTTTAGAATCCTTTGATCCACATGCCCTCGCATAAAAAGTTGAAAAAGCGCTATGACAAAATACCAAAATTCTCATTACCTCCGAGAGTAAAATCTCCAGACTCCAATTGCCCTGCCCGCCATCCTGTTTCCCAGGTCGTACCACGCTTAGTCATGATCTGATGTGTTATCCCCTACCCTTCCTTCCTCACCTGCCTCTCTTTCCGACGAGACAAGGCTTCGGTAGTCCTCATTAGGCATCGAATTTCCATCATGAACCATCAGATTCATGCTGCCCAGGACTCGACAATCTCAGCCAGAGTGCTCTCGCTCCCCACGTTGCCTGGGAATACCACGTAAGGGACGCCCCGGTGTCGACTGGTTTCCTCGTCACAACGCCATAGTGGCACACCGGGAGCTGCCTGGCCCATGATCCGCGCTCTTCGCATCTTCAAGCCTTTGGTCGCCGCGTCCGAAGAGGTGATGCCGCCCTTGGCGATGACATAGCGCGGCCGTACTCGAATCTGCTCGAGGAGCCTTACCAGTGCCGAGGCCACCTTCGACCCGATCTCTAGCGAGCTGATGGCATCCGATGTCTTGACGAGCGTCCGGGATGTCATGACAAGAATATCCTTTCCAGCGGAGATCTGGTCGTTGGCCTCTGCTGCCGCCTTGTCGACGATGGCGCGCTCCGACTCGGCGGACTTGATCAGGTCCGCAACTTCGAGCTCAACGACGGCGAGCTTGTCCTGGCGCCTCTCCCGCAAGACTTTCAACTGGGCTGTCGTCTTTGGAACGTAGGATCCAGCGAGAATGAGACCGCCAGCGTGGGAGGATGCAGACCCGCTCGTCGTCGGAGGCTGGACGTCAGCCATACGCAGGGGCGGAATGCCCTTGATGCCGAGCCTCGACGATACAAACGCCGCAGCGGTACGATACAGGTAGCGTCTGCCCTCTTTCTCTGCGGCGAGCAACCCAGAAACGAACACGTCCATGTCGGATTCGGCAGCAGCATTGACGATGACAACTCCATCCGAACCGGCCGGTCGCGATAGAAGCTTCGCCTTGACGCCTTGCGGTCCGCCAACGCGAATGTCGTCGATGGTTATGGAGAGGAAAGATGACTCATTAAAGCGGGAGCCGCACTTCTCGAGGATGTACTGCCGCAAATTCGAGTTTTGGTACCCAAAGGTGGCGTCCTGCGCAAACGGCGTCTGGCTGGCAGGGACAAGCACATCACCCTCCTTGACATAATGAACATCGTCTAGCGTGTAGCGTCCGCCCTGCAGGAAGAAGGGAGTCAGGACCCAGGCGTCAAACTTTCCCATGGCCTGCTCGACGGCCTCGGGCTCTTCGGGTAGGTGACCTCGTAGGGTGGAGTCTCCGCGCAAGACGACGTCGAAGCGCTTGTTTGTCCTTTGCGCTGCCTCTTTGACGTTTTCGCAGATTTCAAGAATGAGGTTCCGGGCCTCAGGACCGGGGAGGGCGCGACTGTTGGTCAAGATGAAGAAGCCTCGCGACTCCCTCTCGAACTGGCTCTGCAGGGTCTCGACGTCCCAAACCATCAGCACGTCAATGTCGTGGCAAGTCTGTGTGCCAGTCGGATCATCGTCCAAGACGACTAGGACAGGGGCTTCGCCGCCATCGACATACTTCTTCGTCGATTCCAGGACATCATGCGGAAATTCGGCAGGCAGAGCCTCGATCGTCTCCTTGGCGGGCAAGGGCTGGGCCGCTGCCTGTACGGCCTCGTTGGTGGTGTGTGGTTCGGGCCTCCCAGCACTGCCTGAGACAGACACACCGGCGCCTTCCCACCACCGAACGACGCCTGCATCAGCCTCCTTCGACCAACCCTTGGCAGCTCCTGCGAGATAGAGTGTGTGGGCAGCCGATGACATGGGCGCAAAGTACATCAATCGTTTCGTCTCATCAAGCACAATGCCGAGATCCTTGACGAAGATGGCGAGAGCAGAGTGCGGCGTCCAGTCCGCCTCGAGCATCTGCGGCACTCTGTTCTCAAACATCCAGCTCCACGCAGCCGCGTTTTTCAGCAACTCGAAGATCTGACGTGTATCAAGGCCCAGTCGTGCGGCGAATGCCATGGCTTCGGCGGCGGCAGCAATGTGTACACCAGCGAGGAGTTGATTGATAAGCTTGACCGAGGAGGCGGCACCAACACCACCCTTGACCTGGCACAGATTGGTAGCAAGCCCGGTCATGGAGAGGAGGACGCCATTGGCCTTGGAGATGGTGGACTCCTCGCCGGAGCAGATGATGGTGAGGTTGCCGTTGGCGGCGCGCACGACACCTCCGCTGACGGGCGCATCGAGGAGGGTGATGCCGCGTCCCAGCCCAGCCAGGCGTTTCTCGAGGGATCGAACAAACGATGGGGGCACAGTTGAGCTGAGTATGACAATCGCATCGTCGGGCAGGGCGGCGGCAGCGTCGCCAGAGCCGAACAAGGCATCTGTAGCCTGCGTGGCATTCTGTACCATGAGAACCAGCACCTCAGCGCCCCTGGCGGCATCGGCGGGCGAAGTCGCTGCGGATGCCTTGCCACCACCGGAAACAAACTTCTGAATCGCAGGCTCGTATACATCGTAACCATGCACGGCAAAGCCGCCTCGAATCATGGAGCTAGCCATGCCCTGGCCCATGGCGCCAAGACCGATCATACCCACCTTGGAGATCTCCAGCGGTGTTGTGACGGGCGTCGGGTTCGCAAGCGCAGCTGCTGGTGCAGCAGAATCGCTGTCCTTGGTCGCGACAGGTGAATTTTGCTGGAAGACGCGAACGAGGCCAGAGTCATCTTCGCGGCCATAACCCTGTGCAGAGCCCCAGATGTACAGTTGCTCAGCGGCCGAGGCGAGGGGCAGAGGGAATTGCAATGACCTTGCACTCGACACAACGATACCCTAGCAGCGTGTAATTAGAAGACTGACACAGGCAGGACAGGGGAGGCTACGACGCACCATGTCCTTGACGAAAATATCGAGAGCAGACCGAGGCGTCCAATCGGCATCGAGCATATGAGGGACGCGGTTCTCAAACGCCCACGAGTTTCCAGCGGCGTTCTTGATAATCTCGAAGACTTCCCTGGTGTCGAGACCGGCCTTCTCCGCGAGGCCCATGGCCTCTGCGGCGGCGGCGATGTGGGTGCCGACGAGGCACTGGTTGACCATCTTGACCTTACTCGCGGCGCCCGGGCCACCAGAGATCCCATACAGCTTCTCGGACATTTCATGGAGAATCTGATCTGCCCGAGTGAGGGCCTCGGATGATCCAGAGGCGAAGATGGTAAGTGTGCCATTGGCGGCTCGAACTGTGCCGCCAGACACGGGGCAGTCGACAACGAGGATGTCTGATCGGCCGAGTTGGGCTATTTGAGACGCTAGTGTGTCGTAATACGCTGGCGGGACTGTCGAGCACAGCAAGATGGTCGCATTGTGTGGCAGGGCTGGTTCGTGTGAGTGGCTCGTTGCAGATGGACGGAGGGAGGATCCCAGTACTCACCCTCGAGGGCGCCAGTCGCCGCGTCGAACAAAATACTGTCGACCTGCTGCGCATTGGCGGCCATGCAGACGAGGAACGCGCTGTCGTGGGCAACATCTCGAGGCGACTGGCCTGGATGCCCGCCATCGGCCACGAACCTCTCGACGCTCGGCTGCCAGACGTCGTATCCCTTGACTATGTACTTTCCACCCTTCTGCAGGTTGCAGGCCATGCCGAAGCCCATGGCGCCGAGGCCAACGAATCCGACTGACGTCGACATGAGGCTGGTACCAGACTGTTGGGCCATTGTGTCGTCAGGCTGGCTGTTTGAGAACTAAAGCTCTGGGGGCGTACGACAGGTCATGGAACAGACATGGCGAAATTCCGTCTTATAGGCCATGAGTCCATCATGGCCCCTCTGCCGCATCGCCCCCGGCCGAGTCCAAAAAGCCGATCGTTTCTCCTCCGCCATGCACTTGTGCTGGCCGCCCGAACCGGAAGCGTCCTCGAGGATCGAAAAACCCACAACGAATGGACCGCGAATGGGTTGACTGGTTGGCCTGAACAACCAAAAGCCATGACTCGCGACCACCAGGGGGCTAGCGAAGTCTCGCCCACCCCGCAATTGTGCGGTCTGAAGTCCGCTCAGCTTATATAGAGGGTCTGCCCATCTGCGACGCGGGCAGAACTGCTATCCCTTCGCCGGTGTTCCCCCCGCCGCCTGTTCGTCCTGCTTTCTTCTCCAGCCGATCAACCCCAGCTTTCGGTCTTCTGCCCGTCTGGGGAGAACTTCAGGCCTCTGCATAACCTTTCTTCTGTTCTCCATCTTTGCCTCCGGCCGCTAAGCCGTTCAGGATGAAGAGGGCGCGGATCGAGGAGCCTGTCGCGTCGAGCAGCAGTGGACATGGCAGCGGTTCGAGTGCCGTTCCCAGCGGCCGGGGCAGCACCTCGGAGCCGCACGTCCACCAATCCAAGATCTCTCGGAAGATCCGCGCCTGTGAGTTTGCCATCCCCCCGCAAGATCCCTTTCGAGCCGTGATGTGGTGATCTGTTCCATCCGGTGGTCCATGTCTCACGTCTCACGTCTCACGTCTCGCCGCCGCCGATGGCTGCTTGCCTCGGTTCACAGACCCATGTCCATCCATGTTCATGCCTCTGTTCACCCCCTCACCATCTGCCCACCCTACCATGGCGGCGCATGATTCTGATTCATCACAGGTCAACAATGTCAGAATCGCAAAATCAAATGTGACATTGAGCAGGGGCAGTCGCGATGTGCACGTTGCACTCGCATGGGACTAGAATGCGTCATCAACAAGAGCCTGCAGACCCTCCTCGATGACGAGAATCAGTGGAAGAAGGAGATGGAGCAGCAGCTGCGTTCTCTTCAAGCTGCCATGTCCCAGGTCCAAAGGATGCTCAACATCCCGCCGCCAAATCCGCAGCATCAGCAGCATCAGCAGCTGCCACAACAACAACAACAACAGCAGCAGCAGCAGCAGCACCTCCATGACATCCCTTCCGTCGGCAGCGGCGCCACTCACTCATCAGCCTTTGACAATAGCCCAAGTCTGTCAGGCATGCACGGCAGCCCCGCGGGACCGTCACCGAGCCGGCCGCCTGAGATCACAGCTATGACTCGGGAAAACTCGCCTGAGACTGCTCACCCGCGCATCAAGGAGGATCAGGCCATCGTTGATGCCCCGATGGCCAGCCTGTTTGAGGTGACAAAGCTGCGCAACATACGTAGTGACCCTGGGTCACGCGCCGACGCACTTCTCGCCGCGCGCCGCTCGGGCGAGCCAGACTTCATCGCGCAGGGGCGGGTACCTCTCGCCGAAGCCGAGCAGCTGTTTGCCAGGTTCCGCGGGACGCTAAATGCATACCTCTGGGGAGGCGTTGCCCTTCTGCACGACAACCTCCTTTCGGCGCGGCAATCATCTCCGCTGCTCGTGGCCGCCATTCTCGCCGTCACGGCGCTGCACGCCCAAGACGAGGGGGTAAGCTTTGACCGGTGCTATCCCGTCTTTCTTGACCTAGCCAGTCAGTGCATGTTCCAGCGGTACCACACGCTCGACGACGTTCGCGGCCTTTGCATCGGTGCATTCTGGCTGTCCGACGTCAGCTGGAAGCTATCAGGCCTGGCCGTGCGCATTGCGACTGAGCTCAACCTGCACCAGTTCTGCGCCAAGGCGCTTCGAGATGAGCCGGATCACGTCGAGAAGGCGAGGCTCTGGTACTTTCTCTACGTATGTGACCATCACTTTAGCATTGCCTATGGGCGCCCGCCTGTGATACCCGAGGACGTGACCATATCGCGGCACGAGTCATTCCTGCAGTTGCCGGGCATCAGGCAGGCAGACTTTCGCCTGCACAGCCAGGTAGCCATCTTTGTGATCCTCAGCCGCGCGTACCATACCTTCGGGCCCGACCGCTCGAGACTCGTAGCCAACGACGAGTTTGAGGCACTGCGGCGCTATGAGTCGGATATGGGCCATTGGCGGCGTATGTGGGAGCCTAGGCTGGGTACGTTTTCTACGCCTCGTGAGTAGATTGCTTGTGCCGTGAAAGAATGCTAACTTGGTACTAGTGCCGGATCCCAATATTTCGCAGTACCCTGCCAAGGGCGTGAAATTGCACTATCACTTTGCTCGGTTACAGATCTTCTCCGTCTGTCTTCGCGGGCTCACACCGACGGACCAGTTTCTCATGTCGCCTGAACGACGGAGCTTCATCGACTCGGCCATCAGCAGTGCCTCGGCGGCGCTGCGGCTCATCCTCAACGACCCTGACATGCGGCGGGCCGTCATCGGCGTGCCGCTGTATCTGCTGACAGCCATGGCCTATGCCGCCATATTCCTGATGAAGGTGCAATCCGAGTGGAAGGCGGCTGAGTTCAACATCAGCTTCTCCGAGGTAGTGACGCTGATTGAGGCGACGGTCAGTCTGCTCAACGACTCGCAGGCGTGCGTCAGGCACGTAGCGCACTTCCTCGGCAAGGGGCTCAACACGATGCTGGAGAAGTTCAAGGAGAGGGAGGCCATGCTTCAGGCGCAAGCCCAGCAACAGCAGAACGAGCAATTTGTGCAGCAACAGGGATGGGCGGCGCAGGATGCGCAGCAGGGCTGGAACAACTGGATGCTCGGCGGCGCTCCGGAGGTAGAGCCTTTTGGGATCGGCGCGGAGTACTACCCGCTCGGGATACTGGACGTGCTGGGCTCGCAGATGCCCGGCTGAGCTCTCGTGAGCAATACGCGCGACAACTCGGTGGCATGCGTGACGGGATCTCTGATCTTGGATGTACAACTATGACCAGTATGGGACGATGGAGGCTATTTTTCGTGGTGGTAATGAGTGGTTCGGGGTTGATGCCGCGTTGGGGATGATACCAAGAGGGAGAATAATGATGATGCCTGCTCGGCTACACAATTGCGCAGCAGAAACGAGCACGAGATCTAGCAGATCCCATGGTCCGAACATGACGCTTGTGATATTCACAGCAACCCATACGAGCATGCTGCTCACGTTTCGGCTAAGCGCCACGAGGCCCAAGACGTCGAGAATCTGGGGAAAGCAGTGTCTCGACGAATCGGACAGAAGGCCGCCTTCAGAATCGCGGACAGATGTCCGCTTCCATGCTCACACGGCACTTGAGAGAACAAACCGAAGGGGGCAGGCATTCTGCTCATAGGCTTCGCTAGGAGGCTCTAGGGGAAGAGGAGCCGGGGGCTTGCCCGCAGCGCAGATCCCAGCTTTCCAGGTGCAGTGTTTGGCGTTCGTCTCCCGTTGCCCCCAGCTCAGAAGTCTTCTAGCTCGGATTTTAGGGGGGGTGGGAGCGGAAGTCAGACCAGGTTCATGACTTGTGTCTCTCTCTACCGTCATCCGTGACCAGAGGAACCCAAATCCCCACGGGGAGGGGGGTGGGAGCAGCGCCAGAGCAGCGCGAAAGCAACGCTACGCAAAGCTGTGAGAACGCGGGGGAAACCGGTCTAGCGGCCCATCCATGGGCAAAGATCGCAAAGACGCGAATCTATATCTTTGCACGGTTCTGCTGTCTAGTTCTGGGGATCTTGGACTCTTCGCCACTCCATCGACATCATCGTCTGCCGACAATTGAGGATCAACAACGTCGACAGCCAAACGTGGGGAACCCTCTGTGACTCTGCTACCGATCGAGTCGACCCGGACCACCGACTCTCCCTCGTCAATCGTACGACTCGCGCGAGTGCGACCTTTCCCTCTCCCCATCTTTTCTCTTCCTCCCCATCGAGCGACCGATTGAGCCAGATTCATCAGCAGCAATCAATCATCATGGCTGCCGACCTCGACAAGGAGCAGGTCTCGGCCAAGGAGCATCAGACTCCCAACACGGGCTCGCTCGACCCTGAGCTTGCTGAGGCCATCCGCAACTTTGTTCCTGGCACGAGCGAGGAGAAGAAGCTCGTCAAGAAGATTGATCTCTTCCTGATGCCCATGCTTTGGATCATGTACATTCTCAACTACATTGATCGCACGAACATCGTGAGTCTTGCTTCCTCGCTTCTTTTCTTTCTTCATCCATTCGATCACCCCTTTTGCACGGATCACTTCCTGGACCATCCACGCCGACTCTGGGTACAACCTTTGCTAACCTGTACAGGGCAATGCCAAGATCGCGGGAATGGGCGACGACCTGGCGCTGGACGACAATGAGTACGCCTGGGTGCTGTCCATCTTCTTCTTCGGCTACCTCATCTGCGAGATCCCCTCCAACATGATCCTCAGCCGCACAGCGCCGAGTATCTTCCTCCCGGGCATCATGTTCATCTGGGGCGGCCTCTGCGCCGCCATGGCCGTCGTCACCAACTACGGCGGACTTCTGGGCTTCCGCTTCGTCCTCGGCTGCGTCGAGGCCGGTTTCTTCCCTGGTGTCCTGTACCTGCTGTCGTGCTGGTACACAAAGGCCGAGCTCGGCAAGCGCTTCGCCATCTTCTATACGGCTGCTGTCCTCTCGGGCGCCTTTGGCGGCCTCCTCGCGGGTGCCATCACCTCGAACCTTGACGGCGCCCACGGCATCGCTGGCTGGCGCTGGCTCTTCATCATTGAGGGTGTTGCGACCGTCGGCGTCGCTGTCATTGCCTACTTTGTCCTGCTCGACTACCCCTCGACCTCGAAGCGCTTGACGCCCGCGGAGCGGCAAATGGCCCACGTCCGTATCATTGCCGACTCGATCGCCCAGAACGGCGCCTCCAGCAACCGCCTCAGCCACTGGCAGGCGTTCGTCGCCGCCGTCTCCGATCCGCGGACCTACATGTTCCTCGTCCTCTTCATGCTCGACGTCGGCGCCGGCACCATCTCCTACTTCATCCCCACCATCACCGTCACCCTCGGCTACGACACGACGACGGCCCAGTACATGACGGTGCCCGTGTACGCCGTCGCCGCCGTGGTGCTCAACATCGTCGCCTGGTCGTCGGACCGCCACGTGGAGCGCCGCTTCCACATCGCCGGCGCCCTCGCCCTCGGCTGCGCGTGCGCCATCGTCTGCGCCGCCGTCCAGACGCCCATGGTCCGCTACGTCATGCTCTGCTTCGTCGCCGCCGGCATCTGGTCCGCCCTGCCGCTGATCCTGTCCTGGACGAGCGGCACCGTCAGCATGCCGCCCGAGAAGCGCGCCATCGTGCTCGCCATGGTCAACGCCTTTGGCAACTTCTCCTCCGTCTACGGCAGCCGCATCTGGCCCTCGACCGACAAGCCCGCCTACCACGTCGGCTGGGGTGTCACGGCCGCCTTCCTCGGCAGCGGCATGCTCCTGGCCCTCGTGCTGCCCATCCTGTGCAGCCTGGTCAACTGGAAGGGCACCAAGGCCGAGAGGGAGCTTCTCGAGGGGCGTGCCGAGGACGACGCGTCTGCCTAGACTGAATAGTGGAAAGGGGGGGGG